AACCTCCACAAATCTGAGGCTACCTCGCTCCTCTTCCACCAGTGCATTCCCACTTCAGGTTCTGACTGTATCGACCTCCCGTAACTCAAGCCTGTGTGGAACCGTAGCATTTTTTAAAAAAACCTCAACTCCTCTTTAAACCTTTCAATTTGAGCTCTGACCAAGTATTCTTTCCTCCATGTCTGTAACCACCCCAACCTCCATACATCCGAAACTCCCATCCACACTTTTGTCACCTCCAGACTCAACTTTTCCTATTCTGTATCCTGGCCTCCCATCTCCACTTTCCAGAACTCCAGTCAACAACACAACAACATTACCTGCAAATGTCCCATAAGCCCATCATCGCCTAGTTCTACTGGCTCTCTAATGCCGAGCGACCAACTTTAAGATAATTCTCCTTGCCTTTAATTGTTCATTCTACCTCAGTGATCTCCTGCAACTCTACTCCTCCAGCTGCTATCTCCACTCTGCTAATTCTGACCTGTTTCATGCCCCCTGCGTCCTCCATCCCATTACTGCCAGGCAAGCTTCAAACCACCCTCCCTTTTCATGTTACTCACCTCATCCCTCCTTCTTGGCTTTCAAAACAAATCTTAGAAACCCCATTCTTTGATTTTTCTTTTGGCCACCTCTTCCTTACCCCTCAGTCTCTCCAAGCTTTAGCTCATGCTCAGTCTCTGTAAAATGTTCTGAGACATTCTCCCTACATGACAAGTGATGTATAAGTGCAAATTGTTGCTCTAGTCTATTTGGACAGCAAACAGTACCTGTGTTATTACAAAAAAGTAACCTTTTAAAGTTAGAAATAGTGAAAAAGAATATATTACAAGTAAAGACAAAATAAAAAACAACAAAGTGAATAGGATGACAAGGCAGCTAGTTTTTTTTGTTTCAGGTTTTTTTTCTTTGTTTTATTTGTTCAGGTTTAATATTTCAGTAATACTAAGCTTAATGTTTGATTAGTTTATAGTAATTTGGTTTTCAATGCATGAGCTGAAAATGTGCAGAATGGGTAGCTGAGAAAACAAGAGGTTTCCACTGACTTGGCAGCAATTGAAGGGTTAAATCTACATATTAAAATCAAGCATAACATTTCCTGAACTATGCCCCAAAAAACAAAACAAAACTATACATTTAATTACTTTTGCTCAAAAATAATCCTCAAGGAACATACGACACTAATGGTTGGTGAATTTCTGTTTTAAAGCCTTCTGCCCATACGAAATAAAGATTACACTGACTGCATGTTAATTCTCAAGAAAATACTGGCGTACAGCTCAGGAAAAGGTCTGCTGAACTTCTGCACTGTAGAACATTAATCCACAACACTGCTGCAAAGCTGGAGGATGGCCAACACAAGAGTTTGTTGGTTTTGGCAAAGCAAATTGAACGATTAGTAATCTCCATTCCACTCTGTTCATCAAACTGTAATTGGTTGGTTATTACTGTAGCTATTTGTACACACTGTTAAGTTCTCAATTGTTGAGCCCTGATTTTCTATTTCATTTTTATAGGTGGAGGAAAAGATTTAACTAACACAATTGCAAAATAACCAGAACGGTTCATATTATCTTTGTATCAATCCTCACAGTGGACGTTATGAAAAGTGTTAAAAGAAACCCAATATTTGACTTGATATGATGTAAACAGCTCTAATCTTATTTAATGTTTGCTGATAGATCAGCTCTGGTGTATTTGAGAAACACAGTTGGTATTAAAAAACGGAGTTTCTCAGTTGGTAGCTCTCTTGCCTATGAGTCCAAAGGTGGATAGGTATCTGGGGAAGACGGGTTTGCAGGGTTATGGGAAGAAAGCTGGTGATTGGGGTTAGTGAAAGTGACTTGCTCTGTCAAAAAGCCGGCACAGACTCAATGGGCCGAATGGCCTCCTTCTGTGCCGTAACATTCTATGAAATCTATGAATCAGTCATTTGCCTCACAGCCTTTTGTGTGTGTGATCTTGCTCTGCAAAAGGGTTTGCCTGCCAAAACAATCATTACACTTAACAAGAATTATTTGTGAAGCGCTTTCAGGCATTTTCACTTGATAAGCTGTTCTAAAAATCAATTTTTTAAATTTATTTTTCCTTAAATAAAACAAAGTACAAATTTATGACTGCAGGCTGCAGACTAATATTCTGTACCTTTGACTCCTGTCAAAACTGGCTGAAGAATTTCATATGTCTAATTTTTATTCAAAACCCTGAGTACTACAGAATCTATTCTCGAGCAAACCCCCAAAACCCCACAAAATTCATATTAGAGATGTGTCCTAAGATTATCAGGAATTAAGGAAGATTGCTTTATTTAAGAACACATACACATAAGTTAGATGAATGATAAGCAGTCTATTCTTGAAGCCGCAAAGGAGTCTCATATACTGAAAGTGAGCAAAGTTAAACAATCCTAAAATTATGGCAAGAGAACCGCGCAGGATTCTTAATTAAATACACAATGTGATTATGGATAACAACTTCTTTTATAAATGTTTCCGGTGTCCAAATTAAACAAATTAAGGTTATGAGTAATATGTTCACATACCAGATGTTTGATGAACACACGATAAACAGTTTACAGCAAAATACTAAATTCATTTTTGATCCCTTTATAACTAGTTAGTCATTGTGCCTTCACAGTATACCAATTACCTACTCGATGCACGTTTGAGAGACGAGTTTGTTAATGTCAGTATCGCTTAAATCTGCTTGCTTTAGATGGTATTTTATGACACCAAAAAATACCTTTTCACTGCTCACCCTTCAAAACAAATTTGAATTTGCAGCAAGCACAAAGTACAATTTTTATTTTAATAAAAGCTGAAAATTATTATTAAACCCAAATCTCATTCATGTTATATTTGTAATGTGAGCAGAGCTGAGGTTTTACTGTGGAGCTAGAGATTTACAGTATAAATGCTATCTTTCTGAATAAAGAAACTCCTAATGTACAACCAGAGTTACTGCTCTCAGGCAGTTTTCCCTAGTCAGCTCACTTATTCACTAAAGTTTGTTTTTTTGAGTCTAACATGGAGTGAGTGACGATTGTAACAATCTAGAAATAGTTACTTTTTGAGAAAAAAAACAACCTACTGGGAATCTGAACCAGAAATCATTTTATGTTTACTTTGGGGACTGAAATGTGATCCTGTGATTAAAACCTTTTTTGTTATTTGTTTATGTAGTGATCTGTGTAGATTATATATTCATTATACATTCCTGAAGAGATATCACCAGATACGCACCAGTTTAAACTATCTGAATGCGTGCCCAACATGTGAAGTCCATTTCCTTTTAGTTGTCACAAAAGTCAGCAGCAATTTGTATACTTCTACTGTCCATATCATTCTGTAATGCACAGCGATAAAATGTACACATTTTTCATTGTGGTTTGAGATTGTAAAATCTAATAATAGTTTACTTGTATTTTGGATGTCTTGAAGCAATGTTTACGTGAGGTATTTATATTTTATCTGGAGTGGGTAGGAAGTTACTGCTGTGCTTTCACTATCACATTTACACAGGGAAAAAAATGAAACAGCAATGCTACATTTCCCAGAGTTCTGGAACTTGTGCTGTGCCAAAATCGAATCTCTATTTCACTGATCATTGGTAATAAGGTTCACAGATGCTACCCAAATAGATTTACAATAGTGTTTTAAGTTATAAATCATAAATGTATGGAGCTATATGTCTAAAAAAAAGGAGTCAACATTTATTAATGATTCTTCAGGTCAAAGCAAACTATTCCACATCTACAACCTAATCTGTCTGAAAATGGAAAAAATAAACCTCCTTTTTTAACTGAGTTGAAGTGTCTAAAGCTATTTTTCCACACAGAAACAAAGTCGAAAATATGACATCTTGTTTTTGATCACATCTTTGGAGGTCCATTTTGTTTTTTTCAGGATAATCTGTGTTATCATTTGCCTTTAAGGCACTGTGTTAACACAGTATTGGTTTCAAAGGTGTTGGACACTGATTTAAGACACTGAAAGTAAATGGTAGTGAACAAATGTGGATTTAAATAGAGATGGAATTTTAATGTAATTCAATTACTTTGATACAAAAATCTTTTTTACAACAGAAATTATTCTCCTCAGAATACGGGTAATGGAAAACCATTTGTATGTAAACCCCATATCTATTTGTGGAAATTACACCAATGAGGCATATTGTTTTTTATTGCTATTTTTGGTGTTGCTATCCAAACAGTGTAACCAATAGATGTTGTGGTGAATCAGGTTTTCAAGACAAAGATCTGTTGTAAAAGGGAAACTATGATGAATGAAAATCCCCACTGCAACAAAGGAACTGGAAAATGCATAAGGTTAATTTTCCTGCTTCTGCTACATTTCCAGGTACACAATGGATTACAATTGTTGAAGCCTGAAGAAAAGCAAATGAGTCAATTTAAAAAAACTATGTCTGAAAGCTAGTTTTATTCTACCTGTTTATCTAGTGAAAATAGTAGTTTTGACAGTGAAAGCAGTGATGAAAAAAGGCATTAACAATAAGGAAATCATGTCTAATACAATCTTTAATCAGTGGGTCTGAAGGCGAATTGTTTGATGGATTTTCCATTCACTGTGATGTATACCCAATTTTGCTAGTTGAACAGTTTTGCTGACAAAGCAGAGGGATTATTTATGTTTTTAATTGAAGCCAATATCATACCAATAGATTTCCCCTGAATTTTCTCATTGACATAAAGTGACAATATCCAATAGCATCAACATATTTTGAGTTCTGATTCAAACATAGAATGAAAGGAAGAAAGGATGAGCTCTGTATTAGCTTAGCAGAAATGAAGGATGGCTTCAGAATCCTTTTCATGGAACACTGACTGTATTTAAGAGACATTACAAACCAAAAAAACAAAGCTGGAACCCTGTCTGAAATACTTTCCATTCATTCTGCTCACAACACTTAGATCCAAAATTGAACCATTTGTACATATCTAAAGTATATGGTTATAGGAAAGTAAGTGCAAGTCATCTTACCTTCAGGATCGTATGTCTGAAAGACTCTTCTAGCTTGTTCCCAAGGAGATTCTGGGGCAACTAAGGACATTTCCTAAAAAAAAGATACTTTTAAGTATCAAAATATATACAGTTTTTTGGGTTTGTTTTCAAAGGGAAATTAAAAGGTTGACCAAAACAAGATTTACACACCACTTAGTGCTAATCTCTTGTGGCTAAATCTTCAAACACTATATTACAGTAAATTTCTAATAAGTGCATGGGGATTTTTAAAAAAAAATCCCGAATCAAACAAGGCAAAAGAAGAGGCAGATTCTCATAAACTATTACATAATATTTCACTAAAAAAAGAAAAATAATCCAAGTCTATAGAACCAATGTGTAGAATATATTCAGCTGAAAATAAAAATATTTCCTTTCTGCTTAGAAGTAACCTTTAGGGCCCAAATATATGGGAATTGTCATGTATTTCTGCAAATCACAATATACCAAGAGTAAAACATTATGCTTTACTTATCAGCTGAAACACTGTCCAAAGCTCCAGTTGAGGCATATCTCTAGATCATTCTGAGATATCATACACTAACTGTAGGTGGGATCCATACATAGTGAGAAGATCTCCACCAACCCAAGGCAATGAGATCTAGACCATACATCACAAAACACAATACTCAAAATATTCCTCTCCAAAGTGGCTGGGGCAGATACTCAATCAATTTGTGGAAGCAGTGTATTTTCTATTTTTGTGATCCTTAATGCCTTTTATTGAAAAAAGTCTCCAAATTCTTGCACTTGGTTTCTTCAAAAATAAATAATAACAATAAAAATGTTGTCAATCAATCCACGACCATTTGTGGGACACTGCTGTGTGCAATTGGCTGTAGCGTTTCGCCCACAAAACAGTCACTACACTTTACAGTATATTATGTGAAGCTCTTTGAGATGTCTTGACAACGAGCTAAGGCACTATATCAAATGCAACGATTATTATTCTCTCATGCTTTCCAGGCTACAGGTTGATGTTATAAAATGATGACTTACAGTGCAAAGTTTGTTGGGAATTTAGAGCAACTAATAAACTTTATGGGGTACATTTCAGTCATATTTTTAAACTGCTACAGAATCACAACATAAATTTTGGATAAACCGGGAATACAAGGGACGAAATCCCTGTAATGCTTTGAAAACTTTTATAAAGCAGGTTTCATTTTAAAAATCACAATCCAGTATTACAAAGAAAGTGTGAGATAGATAAAATATTTGTTAAAAATCATTGCAACAGCAGGTCACCCAAACACTAAAATGTCTAGCGACGTCAAAATTGCAACACCAGTCTCCAAATCCAGTTGGAAAGTTTGTGTTGTGTAAACTCATGCTCATTATGGGTTATCATATAATCCCATTATTTTTGTTTATGCCACTGAAGATGAGGAATTCCAATACAGCACTGAAAAGCATCTAAATTAGCTACACCTTTGCTTGGTTGAAGGATTGGCAATTGCGATAAATCACTGGAATACAAGCTTGACTTCTGGAATCTGGTTCAAGTATCCTGGGTACGGTTTCTGGTCTTCATTCCCTTGAGATAATCTGGATTTGGCATTAGAAATATTTTACAAGTGGGACAGCTCCAAACTTGCTTAAACAAAAGTATACACTTTCTTTCTCTCTGCCAGACAGACACATTTGGTATGTATTGAAACTGTTTACAAGTGGAGTGGCTGCTCTGGCAATACTTGACACAAAGTGGAACAAAGCCACTATATAATTATGCTTAAACTACAATATACAAGGCAAACAAATTATTCAAACCCTTTTGATAAAGAGTTCCAGTTATAGAATATTGATAAAATGTATGCATCACAAGAGTGCGTTACACTTCACACCAAAACATTCCTACATCATGAAGGTTATGAAATGTCTTGATGCTAATAAGTACAAGGACACTTAAGCACATGATTTACAATAATATTTTCAAACGTAAAATAAGTTTGAACACAGTGAAATAACAATCCTTTCATTTAGTATATATAGCATCTTTCACGTCAGAAGAATGTCTCAAAACTTTTCACTGGGTTTTACTTTTGTTCAAGGTGATTTGTTTTAGTGACTATTTTGTAGGCAAAACAAACATCAACTTGTAAATCTATAGCACTCTTCTGACTAATGTCTGAGCGCTAAATAATGGTGTGTATTGATGCTGAGCTGGAAAAAGAGGGGAGATGACCAAAAGCACGGTCGAATTGGAAAGTCTTCAAATGTGATTTGAAGATGCGAAAGGATAGCGGGATTGAGGCAGGGAGATAGATTTGAGGCATAGTGGCTGAAAGCACGGCCACCAATGGTGGAGCAGCAGGGACGAGGGACGTGCAGAAGACCGAGGTAGGCACAACAACACAAGTTTCATGGTGGCTATATTTAAGCATTTGAGCTTCAATCTCAATTTATGATGTAATCGCTCTTAATTGTGGCAGTATTTTAACACTTCAAATCAACTGGATTAGGGTAATTTAGTCAGTGGCAAAACCCATTAAATGGCAAAGCTCATTCCGAACAGTCAGCAAAATAATGCAAATCCATCTCAAGAGCAGACTTCAAATTGGAAACAGTGACCTGTGTACAGAAACTTTGCTCTTAAGAGCAGCCATCAAATTTCTCGATAGTTCCACTTGCAGCCTTTCCAACTACCCACAAAATATTTGTTGGCACATATGCAGTTATACTCCTCTGACAAGGGGGAATATAGGGTCTTCTTCGAGCTGAGTTGGCTCCAATACAGCTTGCTTGGCAACAGAATGTTGGAATCAAGTCAGTTCTGTGTGGCAATTTTATACTGCAAGTTATTGCTCACCAACAAAGATTGCTATAGAATTGTCTGTAGGCAACAAAACAGCAATGGAGTTCAGGATTATTGGCCTTTCTGAATCTTCCTTGGAGAGCATGAAGCAGCAATCATCATTGCAGTGGACCTTATTTCACTTCACTCCTCTCTGAAGACAGAGAAAGGCTGATGACCTCTTGACCTTTCAATGCTATTACTTAAGAGTTAAGTGGCCAAGTCTTGAAGAGTTATTTTACAGACTTCAACACTGATAACCTTGAGCAGTCAAACACATTGAAGCTACTTTTCGTTTCTTTACTGAAAGATTATGCACCTGGCCCAGGTTAGTTCCACTGTACTGGGAAACAGATGACAAAATACTTAGCAACTCATGAGAAAGTTCATATGAAATAGGGTAGTCCACCTACACAGAAGCTAGCACTTTCGAGAAAATCTGCAACCTTTATTTAATCAATTCACTTTTTTCTGCTGTATCTCAAAATTGCTCTTAAAATAAACTTTACTAATAAGGTTTTTTCAAAGTTTTATTCGATAGCGCATATTCCATTGAAGATATTAACGAACCAATTTTCAATATAGTTGTAACAATACACAGCAAAGATAGTCCAGGAAAAGACTGTATTTAAGCAATGTTCCCACAAGGATTTTTGCTTCTTCCTTAATCTAGGAGAGATTTCCCTGTATGAAAACATCGAGAAAAAGATTTATTCCCTTAGGAGGATCCACATAACTGGTTAATATAACAGCATTGAAAACATGCATGTGCAAAATCAGAAGAATAGTGGGGTAAGGGAGACTGTTTTAAAAAAACACACAACCATCATTTGTGCTAGTATCCCATTCCTTTTGACTCTGTCAAGTGCATATTCATCCAGGAATAAGGATGCCTTGTGTATTTGGGGAGAAGGAGAAAATTAGGAAAAAAGGTGCATAACACTTCATTTACACAAAATTTGAAAATGGTTCTAAGATTTATTATATGCCAAATATAAATTATCCAACGTCACAAAAGGAAATGTAGTTTGAATGTAGCTTTTGGCTGCAAAGAATCTTCATGAATGCACTGCGACATAAATGGTAAAGACTGGAATGAAGTTGCCAAGAGAAAATTAGGACAGTAAACAAGTCAATTACTGACAGAGGGAGCAGAGACTGTTTGCCTCCACTACACATATTTCAAATCCTACTCCTTAAAATGCACACAAATTCTCACATGTCTTAAAATAACACACTACACATTTCAGTGACTTTTCAGGGCAAATTACAGGTTTAGACAGATGATTTGTTAATCCATCCTTTGTTTATATAAATGGCCTTGGTAATAAAACCATTTCTTTCAAATTTTCTAATAAAGCTGTAATCCTTTCCTCCCTAGTGTCCCTCGAGTTCAGGCATCAACAGCTTAACAGTCTTTGTACTTGACTAAATTGGCAGATTTAGTTAGGAATTCTCCATTAAAAATGACTATTTTCTCTCCACCCGCAGCGCCCCCCCACCGATGAACGACTGAATCAGATCTGTGATTAAATCAGATCTGTAGATATTTCATTCATAATCAGTTAACCTTTTCAGCAATGAAATGCAATTTTCCAACAGTTTAGAAGCAACATTACTTTGTAATGTGCGAGTGATATAAAATGTGGGGCAGTCTGCTTCTGCAACAACAAACATCTTAGATTAGCTCAGTGCCGAACAGTTAATTAAGTACCTTTTCCCCTTAAGGAGGATAGTCTTCAGTTAGTCATGACTGACTGACTGACTATAAGGAGAGGGAAAGAGGGGAAATAAGATGTCTAATTACACTATGGAAACACTACTTATTAACTCATAAAAAACTATACATGTCCGTATTTAAATCAATGTACAAAGCTAAACGTCATTTAGTTCATAATTATATACGCACAAAAAAAATTGGAATCTAAATTACCGTTTTAGTAAATCAGGCACACAACTTTTGAGGAGTAATACCACTAAACTAAAGCTAACACAGATTGCATACGGAATGATTACAAAATAAAAGAGATGCTGTCATACACTTCAAATGTAAGGATTATTACTCACTAGTTATAATTATCAGAATTAAAATGATCAGCACTGGTTAGGAGTATGGAGGAGTACTGTCTATATAACGACAACTTGCATTTATATAGCACCCTTCACACGGATTAGCTTCCCGGGGCGCTTAAAACCATGTCTCGCCCTCTCTCTGGGTGACAAGGGCAATAGGAGGTTAAGTGCACTGATCTTTAATT